TCTCTGGGTGCTCCTCTCTGTTCTCTGAGTGCTCCCTCCCTGTTGGGTGCTCCTCCCTGCTCTCTGAGTGCTCCCTCCCTGTTGGGTGCTCCTCCCTGCTCTCTGGGTGCTCCTCCCTGTTCTCTGCACACTCCCTCCCTGTTGGGTGCTCCTCCCTGCTCTCTGGGTGCTCCTCTCTGTTCTCTGAGTGCTCCCTCCCTGTTGGGTGCTCCTCCCTGCTCTCTGGGTGCCCCGCCTCAGTGATCTGAGCATAAGGGTCGTGACCGGCAGGAAGGGCCGTCTGCAGCCTCTCTAGGGTGCGCCCTGGTGCCCAGAAGCTCTGTGGCTGCTCAGGAGGCTTTCAGGGGCACCAGCTTTGCCCTGGAAATACCCCGTCTACCTCCTGATCCTTTCAATAGCAACCCCCGAACCACAGACATGTCCTGGGGCCCAGAATTGCGAATGTGACCTTGTCTCTGGAGTTAAGGGTCCCAGTGTTCCTTCTGGGTTATCTAGCTGGGCCCTAAATCCAAAGATGACCGTCCTACACATGAGGCAGAGGGGAATTTGGGACACAGAGGAGAAGGCAGGTGAAGATGGGCGAGACCAAGAGAGGCCCACAAGCTGAGGACTGCCCACAGCAGGAGCTGAAGAGGCAGGAAGGACCCCTGGAGCCTTCAGAGAGGGCACACGCTACCCATAGTTTGATTAGGGACATCAGGCCTCCAGAGCTTGGAGGTAGTGACTTTCTATTGTCTTAAGCCCCACTCTGCAGTCATTTGTTACAGCAGCCACACGAAGCTCATACATGCTCACTGGCTATTCATCACATCAAACATGCCTTCTTGGGCAGCTCACGAAATCTGCCACCTGACCTCATGGGCTGGCAGCATTCACAAGAGGAATGGAACTCTCTGGGCATCAGGGCAGAGGGATTAGTGATAGGGAAGCCACCCTGTGACCCTAAGGCCCCCATGCTGACCCAACTGTGAGACCAGTGGGAACGGCATTGACGATCCTCGAGAGTGGAGACCCCACCACTTGCCTAAGGCGGCCCTGTAGCTGGCGTGAGGCCAATGCACTGAGCACTCGGTGGACGAGCCAGCCCGGCTCACACTGTGCCCCGTACCTTGTGGGCATGGCGCATCAGGGAAATGGCGCATCAGGGAAGACACTGAATTGTTCCCCCCTCCCTCCTTTTACTTTATTGAGATGGATCGCACACAATCCACACCCTGAGGGCTGAACACTTGCATGCCCTTGTGTGCTGTCCATCTGCCACCCAGGGAGGTCTCCAAAGGACTCCTGCGAGGGACTTGACCTCCATCTTCAGGGTGACAGCTCCCCAGTCGAGGGGGGGCAGTTTTTAAAGGTGAAATGAGGAGAACGACTTCAGATTTTTGCAACAGCCTCTGGCTGGGCCCCAGCTCATTGCATTTTATCTTTGTTAGGGTTGACACAGGGGCAGCACTTTGACCCTAAGGACCCCATGGCACCTCCCACAACCAAAGTGCTAAACAGACGGCCTCCAGCGCCTCCCTGTGCCCCTGTGTGTGAGAAGCTCCTCCCCAAAGCACCTCTGTTCCCCAGGCCTGCCCTGAGGTCTCCCCACAGTAGGTCCTTAGTAAACGTTTGCGGGCCGGGTGTTTGGGTTAATGGAGGAGTGAATGAATGCACCGTGTTCACACAGTATGATGCTTCCCAAGTCAGAGCCCCTGGCTGGGTGCGTGGGCTGACTGGTGACGGCGCCCTGGGCTGGCGTGGAGAACACTCTCAGACAGAGAGCGGGGAACGGTCTAGAGGGAGCTCCCGCAGCTGCCTCTGTCTCTGAGGGACGAGCTCCCCAACCTCCCCCTGGGCCCCCTGGGAGACTGGCCTCGACTTGCTTGGCTCAGGAGTCCCCGGCTTCTCTGCAACTCAGACAGTCCCACTGGCTTGGTGACATCTCCGGAGCTCCAGCCCCGAGGTAGCAGGACACAAAGACCCGCAGCAGGTTCCAACCCAGAACCTACCACTGGGCTCAGACACGGCTCTGCCCAGCAGAAAGAAGCCCAGTGCCCACCGTGGCTCCCACCGTGGCTCCCACTCCCACCATGGAGGCTGCAGAGCCTTCTCAGGACACCATGTCCACAGCCTTGGACACACAATGGAGGCCCGGAGGCCTCCACAAGGGGGCTTCCTCCATGGGGCTCAGGGACCCCCACATGATGACCGCAGTGGCCCCCCTTTGACATCACACATGGCAGTCGCACACAGAGTGGTCACGGACATTCCCAAGGTGGACAGACGGCTGACGTGGTGCACCCTCAAAATAAGACACCAACCTCGATTCCCTGCAAACTGGGAGGTGGAAGATTGCAGGACAAGGGGGAAGCCAGGTGCAGGGGACACTCCTGGGTGTGGCCACCTCCCGGTGGAGGGACCCTGAGCAGCTTTCTTCAGCTTCCTATGGCTCTGCTTCTGCAGCTGAGAACCCACTGGCCCACAGGCAGAGGTGCCGGGGAGAGTCTAGATGGTGCCTACGATAGTTAATGCTGGGGGCCAACTTGACTGGGCTGCAGAGGATGGCACCCAGCACTTCTTAACATGGTTCCGGGTATTTCCATAGGGTGTTTGGGATGAGATCAGCACCGGACCTTCCACAGTGGGTGGGCCTCGTCCAATCAGTTGAAGGCCTGAGTAGAACGACTTCCTCTGAGGAAGTCAGAACCCTCCTGCTCACCTCGGTCAGCCTTTCCTGCTTTTGAACCTGAAGTTGAACAGCAGGTCTTCCGGGTCTGCAGGTGCCACTTTCAGCTGCAGCCCCACCTCAGCTCTCCACCTCCTGCTTGTCCACGCAGACCTTGGGAATCTTCCTTCTCCAGGTCGGGTGAGCCCATTCCCTCTACTCAGTGTCTCTCTGACTGTGCACGTCCTGTAGGAACCGTTTTCTGGAGACCCTGACCAACGCAGAGTGCCTACCCCATGCCCGACACCTACCTAGTCGTGCTCAGTCGATGGCGCTGAGAGATGTTGGAGCTGGATCACAATCATGCCCACGTTCTGGGCTCCACCCACCACCCCAGATTGCAACGCCTGTCCCATGGAGAATCCCAAGGCAGGCTGCCCAGCAGGACACAGCACACTGCCCAGTCACCGCCCAGCATGAAGGCTGCCACAATCCTTGGACAAGAAGAAAGGGAAACGTGGGCTTCCAGGGGTCCACAGGCCCAGACTCCTGAGCTGAGTGCCCAGCTCCCCACCGGGCATCCCCGGGAGCCATGGTGCAGGGAGGTAGTCAGAGCCAGGCCAGGCAGAGAGGGACTCTCCTCTCTAGCTTTAAAATCAGACTCCTCCATCTCTGGACTCCTCCTCTGGGTTCCACAGAGGAGAGAATAGCGTGCGGCCCTCCTGCCAGCCTGTCCATCCGTCCACAGGGCCAGAGGAGGTGCTTCTCCCACTTCCTTCCACTGGGAGGAAAACGTCGGTGCAGGAGGACAGCTGGGCACCCAACACCCACAGATCGCACCCTCAGGAGGCTGCCAGCCTCCTCAGGTCCACTGGAAGCTCTGGGGCGTCCTGTTGCAGTTTGTAAGACCACCTACCCAGCCCCTGCGGAGCCCGCACCCCTCAGAAGCTGCCAGCCCAGGGCCAGCTCTGGCCGGTCCAGAGGGTTTGCTTGGCTCCCCACGGCCAGATGCTGTTGTGTGTGGCCCAGGTCCGCCCAACCTGCTTTGATTCTTCTGAGACCAGTGGGTCCCAGGACACGTCCATCTTGCGCTGGTGTCTTCCATGTAGAGAAGCTTGCTCTGCCGCTTCCTCTGTCGGAGCCTGCCCTTCAGCTCTGATTCCAGCCCTGCAGAGGGCCAGCAGGGCCACCCGGGGGCTTGGGGTAGACCCTTGGCCCCGGGGCCTCCGTGGCTCACCTCTGCTGCTGTGGGCCGTGTCTCCCCTCACCCTCCACCTCCCTGAGGACAGACAGCTGGAGCCAAGGACACAAATCAGGGGACTTGACACTGAGATCCAGGAAGACGGGGTCCTCCGTGCACACACTCCCTGGTCGCGTGGCCCAACGGCGTCCCTCAGAGGTTCCTTCGGCTCTGCCCACCCACACGCCCGGGGAGCTGGCCCAGGACCGTGTGCCTGGTTGGTTTCCCTGTCCCCTCGAAGCAGCCCTTAGATTCCTCTCTCTCCCTGCTGACCGTGTCGAGCTGACCCTTGAGAGGACAGAGGTGCCGACGGGCCTTGCCGGTCCCACTGCAGAGCCTTGCCTGCTTCAGGATGGTCAGGGGCGGGTTTCGGAGGGCTTCCAGGCCCTTCCAGCCTGACATCCGAAAGCACTTGGAGACGACCCCTCGGGTCAGAAGCCCCGGTCGGGATTGGAGGCCCAGAGCTCCACGGGGCTCGGGGAGGCAGCACCCGCTTTGCACAGCTGCTCCTGCTGATTCGGGGCTCTGGAGGCCCTCTTGTCCAGTGACTAGTGGACGGCGGGGGCCAGGAGGAGCGTCCTTGGCTCCCTCTTCATCTCCAAGAGGAAGGAGAAGGCCTGAGCCCAGGGATCTTGGCCAAGGGCAGGAAAATCGAGACGCCTCCCGCATTTCTCTTCCTTCCTACTCCCTGAGAACCATCCGCTGGCTGAGGGTCTCAGTGCCCATCGCAGGCCGCTCTGAACAGGAAATGATTAGTTACATAATGTAATATTAAGGCCATAAATCTCCCCAGTAGCAGCAGCCATAAACCCTGGTTTTTATTATCCAGTTACTGCATAGACCCTGACTGTTCCCTCATCACGGCACAATTATCCCACGATTACTGCTGTAGTGTTCAGTAAAGAGCGTGCCAGGAGCAGCAATTCTGGGGCTCATAAATATATAAACAAACACCGGAGCGAGGCCCCGCAGCTACGGGAAGGAGACAGGATGGGGTGCAGGTGGTCGCAGCCGCAGCGCTGGGCTCTGTGACACTCGGCCGTCTGCCGTGCAGATGGGTCCCTGGCGGCTGCCCGCTCATCCCAGCAGGGCGCAGGAAGCTGTGGGCGGCAGAAGGACAGGGTGTTGGGCACAGGCCGGCCTGGACCAAGCTGCAGGCCAGAGTGTGGGGGCTCGCCTTGGGCACAGCGGCTGCCGGGCGGGCACAGCACCCGTGCTGGTTGTCCCCCTTTAGGGACCGCTGGTGGCCCTTTTAGGAGCCAAGGAACGTGGGTGTCACACAGGGAACCCAAACTCTCCTCGCTCTCTGTTCTTTTTAAAAACAAAAATATCCATTGTGTCTTTATTTCTCACTCCCCCACATGGGAAACCTCCCCAGAGCCCATCAGGAGGAGGGCAGAGAGGGCACAGTCACACCAGGGAGGACCTCGGTGGCATGAAGACAGAGCTCACAGCACAGATGGAGCTCGACATGGCGGGGGGACAGCAGCCGGGGGCCAGAGGGCGGAACTCCTGGTTCCGTGACCTCCTGGAGCCGAGGAACAGAACTCGGTTTAAGAAGTCAGTCTGCTGTGTGTGGGGTGGGGGGCAGGAGGGGCGTCAGGTGCCGGCACATTCTGTATCGCGATGGGGCTCCCGGGTGCCCCTGCTCACCACGGGCGTCCCCTGGACTCGAGTTTCAGACCAAGTCGGAGGCAAAGGGACAGAGGCCGAGTGGCTGAGCGCCTGGCAATGAGCAGGCCGGTGTCCCCAGCCACACCAAGGCACGGGCTTCGGGTGAAGCCAGTTCTCCTCCCAAGGTCATTGTTCCGACAACTCCGTGCTGGTCCTGGGATTTGGAGGGGCAGGTGGCAAGCGCATTCCAGGGACCCGGACGTGCTCCTGAGGGGTGCAGCTTGGACTCAGGCTTGGGATCGACCCACGAAACTGGGCACAACCACAGCGCACCTCAGGGCGTCTGCAATTCGGAAGCGTTTCCTTCTCTCCGTCTTTGATCTGTCCCCCACCCCCAGGTGACACTGCGGGGCAGACAGGACCAAGGACTTGGTTCTTGATGAAGGAGCAGCCACCTGCAGCCCAGAGGCTAAGCAGCACAGACCAGGCCTGAGCAGTGACCAGGGTCCTGTGGGACCCAACCCCAGGTTGGCAGGTCCCGCTCCTTCTGTGCGTCTTCTCTTCGAAATTAAAAGATAGATAAATAGAAAAGCAAGTGACCTAAAGAGCATCGCTGTTCTGAGGCAGAACGTCGGCATCGTGGTCAGCAGAACAATGAGCCCCAGATATCCACATCCTAAGCCTCAGAACCCGGGAGGGTGTCGGGCTCCACCACAGGGGGCTTCAGGGTGCAAACGGAATTAAGGTCAGGAACCGGCTGACCTTGAAGCAGCTGACCTTGAACTGGGGGACTGTGGATGACCGGGTGGGCCCAGTGGTCACAAGGCTCCCTGGAGATGGAAGGGGCAGGCGAGTCAGAACAGGAGATGGCAGCAGGACAGGCCACCACAGGCCTCCAGGGGAGGCAGCAGCCATGAGCCAGGACCACGGGGGCCACTGGAAAGGCAGGTGACGGGCAGCCCTGGAGCTGCAGAAGGAGCCCCCGGTCAACGCTCCAGACACTCCAGCCCGCAGACCACTCTGGACCTCTGACCCCCGAGTCACGCAGCTGTGACTAAGTCTGGGGTTTGCAATCTCCGCAGCAGGACATTCACACAGAAATCCTCAGGGAACGTAGCCTCCTCTCCGCCCTGGGCTGGGCTACGGGCTCCTTCCGCAGGTGACTCTCTAGTCCCCATTCGGGCATCCAGACCTGAATCCAGGGATCCCTCCGTCCCACCCAGCGGGCCCTGCTGCCTTGTGAAGCGGAGGCTGCTGAGCGGCCTCGGGCCTCCTGAGGACCGTATCTCGGGTGAGCGCCACCTGATGGGCTCCCTGACCTGTGTTCTCCTGGAGGCTCAGCTAATGGAGTATTACGGACCCAGACTCAGGAAGGGGACAGTGGCTTCTAGCAACCTCCCGTAGCAGGCCGGGCCGCTGCGCGTCTGCTGTGCTGCTGTTTAAATTGAACTTACGCTTTTTAAAAATCCTATCTGCATTATCTCATCGAGCGACCGTTCCCTGGAACATCATAAAGCAAACATTAATTAGGGCTCCAGTTGGTGCCGGGTCCTGCAGACTCTCAGCCGCGCCACAGGCCGTCCCGACCCGGACCCCCGTTTGAAGAAAGTCGACCGCAGCCAGCCCAGGTCTCCCAAGCAAAGGCCGACGCTGCCCGGTGCCTTTGGTGGAGAAAAGGACACCAAGAGCTGAAGGGCGACAGCCCAGGACACAAAGCCAGCCCACTGATGGCCAAGAACCAGCCACCATGACCACAGTGTGGGGCACTCAGCCAAGTGACCATACCTGCCCCTAGGCAACACACCCTCTAAGTCCACCACACCAGAGCCCTGCCACTCTGCCCAGCTCCAAAAGACATACACATGGTCCAGTGGCCACAGGATGATGTAGTCACCTCAGCCAAGAGACACCATGAGCAGCACAGACTTAGGAATCAGGCGGCTGGAGGCTTCTCTGACCATCTGTTTCTTCATCTGTAGGAACTGCATGAGGTGACCAGCTTGGCCCATTTTGCCCAGGACTTCCTTGCACATGTCCACAGCCAGTTCTCCCAACAGGTCCCAGGCCTGCGAAATGACAGCCCAGATGGGACCGTGGAGCCTCCCCTTCCGTTGTTCATCAGAGTTGCTTGTTTGTAGGAAAGAATTCGAGCAATGCCCAGGGGTCCATCTCCAGGGTGGTCTGGCCACGTCTGTGGGACCTGGGGTGTTTCTGGAGCGCTCACCACACAGGCTGTGCTCCTCCCATGATGAAGGACACTGGCAGCAGGCCGAGCTGCTGGGACATGGGGACAGGGAGGACACAGCACCTCCTCCTTGCTGCCCCCGGTCAGATGCAGTCCTGGGGCAGGACGCTGTGCAGAGGAGACCTCCAGGCTCGGAAGACCCCAGGGACAGCCGTGGGAGCAGGACAGGCCTGGCAGCTCTGTCCCCTAGGCAACGTGACACCTGTGCACAGTGGTGGAGCCCAAAGCCAGAGCTGGGGGACCCTTCACGGGAGTCCTGTCCCTGGATGTCCCTCCCCAGGTGACCGGTGCTGTCACGCCTGCCTCGCTCTCCCCCGTGAGCCGCGTGGCCTTACACAACCCGAGTCTTTAAATGCACAGCCACAGCAGAGGTAGGAGGGGGCGCTGCCCTCCTCTGTCCTGCTCTTCGAGGGCCACCCGCAGCTCTCCCCCACCCCCTCCCACAGCTGCAAAGTCTTGTGCCGTCTCAGCTGGGGTGACCCGCTCTCCCAGTTTGCCTGGAAACAAGGATCCTCCTGCCATGTGGGACTTTCAACATGGAAGCCTGGAAAATCCCCAGAAAAAGGGGCAGTGGGTCACAGGAACGGTGGCTGGTCACTGGGTTCAGGGACCGACTTCAAGTAGGTGTTCATGGAAGCACATCCAGGGGACACGGGTGCTCCTCCACCTGGAGCTGGGCGGGTCTGACCACTGACATCCCAACACGTTCATTTCAACTGCGGCCAGCCTGGAGGTCCCACGGCCCCGGACAGAGCGCCCGAGGGCAGCCGGGTGGCCTTCCAGGAAGGTGGGCCACCTGCAAGCCCAAGGGTCCCTGCAGGAGAGCAGAGCTGCATGCGCCTCGTCTCAAGGAAGCCTGAGTGTCCCGGGGAAGCGTCTCCCTGTGTGGAGATCTTAGGGCTCAGGTAGGGGAAATCAAATCCTGAACGTCCTCCTGCTGAGTAAAGATCCTCTCTGTCTTTTTTCTGAGTCAACACGGTACATTTCTCCCAAGTTTGGAGAAATGATAATAACAGTCACAACACAACCCTTTACCTGGTCTCCCTCCCCCGCCCCCCGGGGTGGGAATTTGCTGGCGACCTCCGGCTCCCCACCCACCTTGCTGCGCCACCTCGTCAGCTGAGTTATTTTCATTGCATTTTATTTATTTTTAAAAGAGAGAAGCTGTCACCAGAAGGGCGATTGTCCTTGCGCGGAATCCTGTCTCGGATGGAGCTGAGCAGCCCTCACTTCATTAAGTGCACAGCCTCTACCTGAGAGATCAATTGCAGCCTAGATCATGAGGACAGAAATCAATCCCAGACACGCTCCGCGGCCGCCACAGCCACAGGTGCCTTCCAGCGAGGCCAGGGCAGACTCCTGAGGGCCCAGCCCCACACGTCCAGGGCCAGGAGAGTGGGCCGGTCATCCAGGGGCCAGAGGGGACAGGGCTTGGGGCTTTTGTGAAGCTGCTCAGTGGAAGGCACACAAAAGAAGGAGCCTCCTGGTACCTTCAGGGAGAAGATGATGGGCACCAAGCAGCATCTGCTCACTCGGATGTTAATTAAGCAACTACTACCTTCTAATCTCCAGGCCCTTCAAGGTAAACAACCCAGAGTCTCTTCCCTAGTCCTCTAGGGGCTTTGGGGGCCCTTGGGGTGGTAGGGGACACAGACATGTGGGCAGCTAATTTGACCTGAGTTGGTCTGGGAAATGCAGAGGGCCCCGTGTATGAGGGTGAGGAAGGGCAACCAGAACTGGATCTTGAGGGATGGACAGGGGGTTGCCGGGGAACTTTTCCTTCCTCCTGGTATCAGAAGGAAGAACCAGATCCCCGGTTCTATGGTGCCTGACACATTGGACCCCCGGCCTGGCACAGACCTGAGGGCCAGCATCCACTTGCCTTTCTAGGCAGTCCCCAAGGTCTCGATCCACTTCCCTGCCTTGGGGAGTCAGTGGGTCCGACCAGAAGGGAGCCCGGGAGTCCCTTTAACCCGTGTCCCTTCAATTTAGCTTTGAAACTGAGCCGAGGGCCTGGGCTCCTGCTTCCCCTCCTCTGGGGGCTGCTTGGTGAACCCCTTAAGTCACGAGGGCCCCAGCCCAGCCATCGCCTCTTCCCGTCTCTACCCTGTAGCCAAGGTCACTCGGTGCCTGGTGAGGTGCTGGGTGCGGGGTGCAGCCTCAGGAGCCCCCTGCAGGCCCCTGCTGGGCAAGTGTGTGGGAAAGATACCCACCCACCCTGGGCCCTCCCTGGAGGTGACCGAGGTCTGGAATGCTAGGTCAGGGTCCAGGGGGCGAGACGTTCCACAGGAACTGCTGATGCACAACAGGCAGGCGACGCCCCGCCCAGCACCCCGCATCCCCCACTTCCCTGGTCCCCACGGCAACTGACAGGGAACAGCAGCAACGGTTCAGGGATAAAGAAACTGGCTTAGAAGAGTCCAGCAACATTCTCAGAACTGCCCAGCACAGGAAGGTCAGGAAGTTCACAGGACCAGGTGGGCCTCCACGTGTCCAGTGGAGCCGTGGGCATGTTGGGGACAAGGGACGGGGACCAACACTGGTGAGCCTCTGTGATCTGGGCCAGGGGATAAGCACCCATCTCAGCCAAGCGGGCTCCTCGGCCTCACACAGAGGAAGGGCCTCCTGTCTTAGGGTGAGTACCTGTGGCACCAGCCCCAGCGTCACACAGCCACGCACCCCACACCCAGCCAGGTTCTACTGACTCCTTTGCAGCACTACCTGTGCTCCAGGTCCCAGGGTGACAGAGACCCACCTCCAATCTCTCTGGGATGCTATCACTCGCACAGGGGTCCGGGACCTATGCAGGCACCAGCCCAGACGTTGTTAATCAGCTTGATTAGCCATTCTGCAAACCGAGTGTGTATGGAAACATTGCAGCAGGCCGTGAAGCTAGATCTCTGTGCCTGTACACACACAGGCATGGTCTACGTGACTTCGTTTCCAGGTAAAAGATAAATAGGGGAGAATGCAGCACTGGAAATAAAACACACAGCCCCGAGCCCAGCCCTCCTAAACGAGACTCTGCATTTTAACAAGATTCCGGGGTGAGCCGCGTGTGCCGCGAAGACCAAGAGTGGCCCTGGCAGGGCAGCAGAGGGGCGGCACACGGGTCTCTGTGCTTCCTGCTCTGGGGACGGCTCTTGACACTTCTCTGTTTAGCGGCTGCTGGGCCAGACCTGGGCCACCCAGGCACCCACTTGCAAAGCAGACACAGACCCAAGAAAGGGAAAGTGCAGATGAGGACAGCCGGTCAGGCGTGAGGATGGGCAGAGTGGGCAGAGGGCTCGAGGACCTAGCCCACTGAGGGTCTGCAGTGCCAGGATTGAGGACCCTCTCCTGGGGCGAGTTGAAGGGCTACTTCCAGCCAGCAGAAGGCTCCTCAGTGCTGGTCAGCGCCTTGAGCCCACGCTGTACCCTCTCTGCTCCCCAGTGGCCAGGTGTGTGGACAGAGCAGGGTGGCCAGCAGGGTCGGTGGGGCCGAGCTTGAACCTGGATCCTGTATATGTCCTGCTGTCCCTGGGAGCCATGCCCTGCTCAGTGGGCAGGGCGAGTTATGGTGTGAACTCACTCGCGCTATCGAGAGGCAGAAAGAGGTCAGGATGAATAATGAGGAGGCGATAGCTGAATGCAGCACAGGGCGCTGTCCGGTCTTCGTGACCTTGTGACAAGGAGAGCCCGCCTCCTCCCCAAGCCCCGTGCTGCTCTGGGCTCCGCTTCCCCCCAAGGCCAGCTGCAGCGGGCCAGCAGAGCAGAGGCCGGGAGCCACACTGCAGGGCTTCGGTGTCCCTCTGAGCACCCTCCCTTCCGTCTCTCGGTCCTCTCCGTGGGGAGGCCCCGTGACCTTCCTGGCCTCTTTCCCCGGCTGACGGCGGAGTTGTGCTTTAGAGTCTCAGCCCTGCCGGAACAAATTACTGTAAATGACAAGGCTGGAGTCCACACAGACTTATTATCTTACAGTTCTGGAGAGCAGAAATCCGAGGCGAGCCGGCAGACCCGAGGCTCCCGGGGAGGGCTGGAACTCCTTGGCCTTTCGCAGCTTCTAGAGGCTGCCCGCACCAGCCCGTCCCCAGCCCCTGGGCCTCAGCCCCATCCGCACATCTTCCCGGGCTGTGACCCTCCTGTGCCCCTCTTAGAAGGACCCTGGGGATACTTGGGCCCACAGGGTGACCCAGGATGACCTCCCCATCTCAGGCTCCTGGACTTAACCCCACCTGCAGAGTCTCTGCCTGTGAGGTGACCAGCTCACAGGTGCCAGGGATGTGGGCGTCCAGTGGGGTCACGATTCAGCCCAGCACAGAAGAGCATGCGGACGAGGTGTCCCGCCCCCACCCGGCCTGCAGAGGGAGGTCCTGACCCCCTCCAGGGGCGGTGCACTTAGGGGCACAGCTCTAGGCCGGGGGCCAGGGAGACCAACATGTCCCCCAGAGAGGGCCGTGGTCACCTCCTCCAACAGCCCACAGAAGTGAAGTCAAATTCAGGAATACGTGAGACTAAGACGGGAAGCTGGGGGCACAGGTACCATGGAGATCCCGGGGTGCAGGCCCGAGCAGGTGACCGGAGGCCTTGGGACCCACCGCACTCCTGGTTTCCTCCTCTGGGGAAACCGTGGCGTCCTGCAGCCCGGGGGGCCCCAGGGCCTGGGGTGAGTGCGCTGGGCTCTGCGGGATGGTGCCTTGGCCCATGGCTGCGGCCCTGGAGGCACACCCTGGGGCCTGTGCTGTTTAGCAAGCCCAGCCTGGGCCGACTGACAGCTGATGGGCCATTTCTGCAGGCCCGGCTCGGGGAACGGAGTCCTGGGTGCGTGGGCTTTAAGGGAACAGAACCCCGTTCTGGCTGCTTTTCACCGTTTCTCCGGAGGCCAGCTGGCAAAGGAGGCGGAACTCAAAACTGCTGAAGTCACTGGGTTCTGCCGGTGCCAAAAGCCGGGACAAGGCTCCGCTTCAAGGGGTCAGGGTCCAGCACCGTGGGCAGGGACTGGTCAGCTGGCCAGAGCACCCCTCCCTCCCCGGCCGTCCCCACTCTCCTCCCCTTTCTCCCTCTCTCTCCCCTCATTTCCAGTTGCCTTCAAGGCCAAGAGAAGCAGCTGTGAAACGCTGACCTTGAACCCTGAACTGGGGGGTACTTACCAGTCACCCCAGCCGAGGGTCTCCAGGGACCCTGGGTCATTAGTCACATAAATTCTGATCCTGGCTTTCGATTCCCAAGGCCCTGGATGTGGCGACACGGGCAGAAGGCGGGGTCTTGCTTGAGGCTGGCTGAGAGGTCACGAGCCCCTTCCTGTGACGAGGGGACAGGGGCCCACTGCTCACCAGGGGCTGCGCTGCCCACTGCGCAGGGACCTTCCGTCTCTGGGCGCAGAGGGAATGGCGTAGCCTGAGACTGTGCCTTGGAATTCCCCTGGGAACGGCGGCTGTGGGAGGAGGAAGGTGACAGGAGGCTGGTGCAGTGGGACGCAGAACAGAAGGTTCCAGAAGCCAGACGGGCGGCCGCGGAGGAAAAGCACCAGACAGACACCAGGGGAAGGAGACGGGAAGGGCAAGCTGCTCCTCGAGACTGAGAGAGGCCCAGGCTGAGCCCAGGTTAGACCAGCTTAAAGGGAAAGCACCGGGCTGCGCCGCTGGGCCCCGCGAGGAACAGGCCTGCAGAGGGCGCGTGGCCGACCCCTGGGAAGCAAGAGCCAGGACGTGCTCCAGACTGCAGAGGGGTCAGAGACGGCCGCAGGAGGCAGTGACTGAGGCTCGAGGGCCAGCAGAGTGACCGGCAGGAGGGAAGTGCCAAGAGGGCAGCCTCCTGAGAGTCCTGGGGCAGCCAGGGTCCCGGCAGGGAAATTCAGCCCCAGGGCTCCAGGGGCGGACAGCGGAGGGAGGCAGTGTGGCAGGGTCTGGATCCTGGCTCTGTCACCCATTGCCGCGGGACCTCAGCCAAGTCACTTACCCTCTCTTGTCCTCGGTTTTGCCACCTGCGTCCACAGGACAAGGCTGATTAAGGACCCCACCAGTAGTACGTGCAAAGCACACGGGAGACCACCTGTGCAGAGCCCAGGCCACACGTGTGTGAGCAGGGAGCCCCTGCAAGGGCGGGTCAGGCCGACAGGACACCGAGACCAGGCCTGGGCACAGCGAGGTCGGGGTTAGACACCCGCCTTCCTAAGTCAGTGGGGTGACCAGGAAAATGGGTCTAAGTGGGAGGTTTTACCCAAGCGAGAGCACGTTCTCGGTCCTGGGCTTGGCACAGGGCAAAGCCAAAGCCCGGGAGACGCCCTCGGTCCTTGCCCAGCCCCGACAGGCGCTGAACCCTGGACAGGACTTCACCTTGGATGACCACTTCGGGGCAGAAGCAGCGCTCCAGCACGGTTGGTTGGCCAAGCCTCCTGATGAGGCAGCCCCTGCTGACCCCTCCTGAAGACCCCTCCTGCAGACCCCACCTGCAGTCCCCACCTGATGACCCCTTCCTGCAGACCCTTCCTGCAGACCCCACCTGATGACCCCTCCTGCTGACCCCTTCCTGCAGACCCTTCCTGCAGACCCCACCTGATGACCCCTCCTGCTGACCCCTTCCTGCAGACCCTTCCTGCAGTCCCCACCTGCTGACCCCTTCCTGCTGACCCCTCCTGCTGACCCCTTCCTGCAGACCCTTCCTGCAGTCCCCACCTGATGACCCCTCCTGCTGACCCTTCCTGCAGACCCTTCCTGCAGACCCCACCTGATGACCCCTCCTGCTGACCCCTTCCTGCTGACCCCTCCTGCTGACCCCTCCTGAAGACCCCTCCTGCAGACCCCACCTGCTGACCCCTCCTGCTGACCCCTTCCTGCAGACCCTTCCTGCAGTCCCCACCTGATGACCCCTCCTGCTGACCCCTTCCTGCTGACCCTTCCTGCAGACCCCACCTGATGACCCCTCCTGCTGACCCCTTCCTGCTGACCCTTCCTGCAGACCCCACCTGATGACCCCTCCTGCTGACCCCTTCCTGCTGACCCCTCCTGCTGACCCCTTCCTGCAGACCCTTCCTGCAGACCCCACCTGATGACCCCTCCTGCTGACCCCTTCCTGCTGACCCCACCTGATGACCCCTCCTGCTGACCCCTTCCTGCTGACCGCTCCTGCTGACCCCACCTGATGACCCCTTGTTTCGGTCAGCTTTTTCACTGCTGGGACTCAAGGATCTGACCAGAACAACTGTAGAGGAGGAAGAGTTTATTTGAGGGCTCACGGGCTCGGAGGCCTTAGTCCATGGAAGGCTGGCTCCATTCCTCGGGGCTCGAGGTGAGGCTGAACGTCACGGCAGAGTGTGTGGCCCAGGGAAGCAGCTGACATCAGGGTGATCAAGAAGCAGAGAGAGCCACAAACATGTACCCAAAGCCACGCCCCAGTCCCCACCTCCGCAGCCACACCCCACCACTCGGTTAATCCCCTCGGGGTGAACTCTGATCAGGCTAAGGCTGTAACCTGGACATGTCTCCTCCAAACTCTCCTGCACTGTCTCACATGTGATCTTTCGGGGTACACTCACATCTAAACATAACGCCCCTCCTGCTGACCCTCCTGCTGACCCGCCTGCTGATGCTGCCTGTGGCCCCTGCGCCTCCCAGGCTGGCCACAGGCACGGCTGGAGCACTAAGTGGTGCCTAGTGACCTTCTCAGACCTCGCAGGAGCTGACTGGGGGACGCAGCCGGCCGCAGTTGGAGATGTGGTCCAGGACAGCAGCGAGGTCCTCAGCCGAGGAAATGGAGTGGACTCGGTTAACTCAGTCCAGGTCATTCGGCTCGACTCACGGTGGGGGCGTCCTGACAAGCCCACATTAGTGGGACACGTGTGTGATGCAGCTCACCGGTGATGATCACGGCCCCACCTCGCCTGCCTTCGACACAGCCACCACAGCCACCCACAGCTGCCAGCACCGCCCAGCCCCAACCCTATTTTGTCATAAAGTGTTGGCTGTCTCGGGCGGGTCACCTTGGAAGAGGCAGCTCTGGTGCCACCGTGAAGTTGAAGCATCCCACGTTGAGCCCTCCCGTGGGCGCCGGCTCTACTCTCCCCCTCACCTTGACGCTCCCCCGATCACCAGCAGTCCTAGGAGGCTCCACAGCAGGACAGGTCATCCTGGCCAAGTTGCCTCATGAAGGTCAAAGTCCAACCTTGAAGCCACGCCCCGACTGACCAGTGGCTTAAGGACTAGGAGGACAGGCGCGAAGGCCCCTCTTCCTGTTTCAGAGGCGGCATCTCCAGCCCCTGGGCTCCTGGGTTTGGGGAGAACGACTCGGGCTGAGCAGAGCCGTGTCCTGCCAAGAGGCTGGCCTCCACGGCAACAGCGTCCTCAGCTGACCAGGCCGCTGTCCCTGGAGCCCCCCAGGCAGAGGCTGCCAGCAGATGGGAGGAATGCTTCCAGATGGTTCTGGGACCCCCGGGTCCTTCTGATGCACTCAGTCCCAGGCTGGCTCTCACTACAGCCACGTGACTTCCCAGGGTGCACCTGGGACCACCGGGAGGTGCAGGTGTCTCCTGTCCCTGCCGCCTGCCCTTCTGTGGCCACCCTCAGGGCACCTCCACGGGCAGGAGTCTCTGTGGGAGACCGAGGCGTCCCCCCTCCCTGATGGGCCTCACCATGACCTCTGGCCGTGATGGGGCCCACCCAGTGTCACAGCAGAGGTGTGAGGGCAGCAGCAGGGACCTGACCACCACTGGGCACAGGCACAGGGTCCCCTGCCCCACCTCTCCTTGCCCGTGGCCTCTAGGCCTCACCCACACACCCTGGCTGCCTTTCTCCCTCTGCCTCCCTCTGTCCCCCCCGGGCCGAGAGGGGCTGGCTCTCTACTCCCCTGTCTTCGCCCAGGACAGACCAGGGGGCTCCCTGGAGCTGGGCTGACCTGGGGGCCTTCCTGCCTCTGGGCCCCGCCTCCCTCTGCCTTAGCTTTGACTCTAGGAAACCTGTGTCTGGGACTTCTTTCTGGGTCCCTTGAGAAGTCAGTCTACACCCCGGGAATGTATCCTCAAGAGAGCCGGTCGTTAGCACCTTGCGTGGCCTAACGGGGCCCACCAGCCTCCCCAGTGCCTCTCTCTGGACTCAGCAGACCCAACGCGTCCTCCCAGCTGTCTGGCGCGCACCTTGACTCCTTCCCGCCTCCCCAGCATGTGTCCCCTGCTTCCTGAGGTGCCGTGCCTGTGCCCTGCCCTGGTGCCAGGGTGGCACACTCTAGAACCAGGGGCCACTGCAGAGCGGAGAGGCAGCCCGCACATCCCTGCCTCTAGGACCCCCCGAGGCCCGGTGGGGGCCCAGGGAGCTTCGCCCCACCCTGACTCACCCTTTGCTGGGGCGCAACCTGCCTGCGATTCGGGCTCCCACCGCCGCGGAGGTCCAGCCTTGGGGTCAGCAGCGCAGGGCTGCTGGCTCCTGTATTCCGATTCTGGCGGAGCTAAAGGGCTCTCCTCCCATTCCTTCCCTGTGAGAGCCCTGCCCTTCTCCCTCCCATCACCCTGGCTGCCGGTCACGGGCCACTGTCACGCCAGCCCCACCCCCCACCGAGGGATCTGTGCCCAGAGAGACGCTACCAAACAACCACAAGGCCCAAAGCTCACTTAAGTTGTCAAGCAACCAGAAAAGGCACCTTCCGCAGAGGCAGGGTCGGCGGCTGGAAGGACAGTCCACCCCCTTCCCTGGTCGAGCACCTATGCTGCACTGAGGCCAGAAGAGTGGCCCCCTCCCGGTCCTCTCTGCATCAGCCCCGCAGCCCTCTCTTCTTCTCAGAAGCCCCAGAGCTCTGGTCACGCAGCAGAGGCTGCTGGTTGCCTGCCGGACCCGCTGCGCCCTGCTCTGGTCTTAACACAACCCAAACTTTACTAAGGCATCATAGAGTTGGCTGAAAGTGCCAGCCCATGGCAGCCTCCCTGGCAGCTGGAGTGATCCCCTGACACGCTGTGAGCCGGACTGAGCAGCAGCCGCGACAGGGCTTCAGGGGAGACGTAGGGGCTGCCGGGCTGATGTAAGGAAGGACTGCCACTTGGGCGGCAGCCAGCCACAGTTCATCCTCAGGTTCTGGAGGCCAGAAGCCCAAAATCAGCCCCACTGGGCGGAAATCAAGGTGTTGGCAGGGCCACACCCCTCAAAGGCTCCAGGGCTGTCCCGTGCCCCCAGTGGCTGGTGGTTTGTACAGTTCCTGTGGCCACACGTCTCCACCTGCCCCTCCTCCCTCTCCTGAGGACACTTGAGATGGTGTTTGGGGCTCACCTGTAATGTCCTGGTCTCGAGATCCTGCACTGGCCCCGTATGCAGCAGCCGAGTTCCGCGAGGCCACACCTAAGGCTCCAGGGTTGGGACGTGGTGCCTCTGGGCTCCATCGTTCAGCCCACTCCAGCTCCTGACGGGGACAGGATCAGTCCACTGTGCCTTCTGCCCCTGACCTCTCCCTGCTCTGGCGTGACCACAGACACCGTGTGGAGGCCCCGGGCTGGGGGTGAGAGTGGACATCTGGGGCTGAGATCCCGAGGAGGCTGTGTCCTCCGGGCTCCCTCCAGCCAGGGTTGGACAGTTCCCAGGGGCCTGCCTCTGGGCTCCCTGCTATAGGAGAGAGACAAACGCTGGCTTTGTTCAACCCACAGCGCGGTGGGGTTTCCTGTTCCACCTGGTGCAGGCCCTTAGCAGGGGCCATGGCCAGGTGACCAGGTGCCTGGAGAGCCACAGGGGATGAGGGCAGGACTAGCCCTCCCCCTTGCTGTCCTCAGCAGACTGCCCACCTGATCACCACTCTCTCTGGACTCAGGGCCGTCCTTCAGGAAGGACGACGGCATGCGGGCCTGCCAGGCGCCCCGAGAGGAGGGGCCCTCCTGAAGGGGGACACGCTGGGCCCTGCCAAGGCGTCTGCAGGGCCTGGGCCTGAAGCCTCCCGGTCCCCCACCTCGGCCGCTGGCTGACAGGGGACTCAGGCGTGGGCACGTGCCACTGCTGCTTTGGACAGGCTCTGAGCCCCGCATGGCCTGGGACCACACATGACGTGACACACTGTCCACCACACTGTCCCTGTGACCACTCAGAGTTACGTCTTCAGAAAATGATCTGTTCCAAGGCCTCTCACCAAGCGGGTCCCGTGTGCATCGGGCGCTCACCCGGGTCTCGGATGAGCGCCCGACGCACACGGGACCCGCGTCCCCATCTGGCCTCTGCACACTGGGCCCTCCTTGGCCATCTCTCCAGGCCGCTCTCCTCCTCCCTCATCTGTGAGTGGCCCTTCCTGGTCCTTTCTGAGGCAGAGGCTCTGCCGGGTTGGCTTCACAGGACCCGGGGGGGTGGCTGGTGAGGCTCGTGGCCGGGGTACGCTGGCCTGCCTCGTCACTCTCCCGGGCACCAACAGCGTGCCTGGCTTGGGCTGTCCCGCCAGAGCTCCCCAGCAGCCCCAGGAGTGCTGGAGCCACCAGGCTGCTGTCACAGGAATCAGGCTGACACTGGTTAAGGGACCTGCTCCAGGTACAGCAGGCACGTGGCCCAGTGAAGACCTGAGCCCGCGGTTGGGGTCAGGAGCGTCCACTGCTGTAGTGGTTGGGCTGATGTGGAGCCTGGGGGGGGGGGGCTGGGGAGTGACATGTCGGAACAATGTAATAGGGTGGACCATGGCAGCGGCACGTGATGCCAACCCGCATGCATAACAGACTCAAGTGACTGCTACCCAGAGAAGGACTCTGGAGTGTCCATCAAATCCCAGCCCCACACATGCATGGACAAGCCCACACACTCACACACTCTCACACACACATACTCACACACACTCACACATACACACACATGCACACTTACTCACACACACACATACTCACACACTCACACCCACACCCACACACTCATACTCACACACACTCACCCACACACACTCACACACACTCACTCTCACACACACTCACACACACTCACTCTCACACACACTCACACTCACACACACTCACACACTCACACTCACACACACTCTCACACACATACTCACACACTCACCCACACACCCACACACTCACACCCACACACACACACTCACACACACACACTCGCACATGCACACTCACACACTCACACACACTCAACTCGCACCTGCACACTCACACACACTCACACACCCACACACACTCACACTCACACACACTCACACTCACATACTCACACTCACACACACTCACACACTCACACACACTCTCACACACATACTCACACACTCACACCCACACACTCACACTCACACACCCACACACACTCACACTCACACACACTCACACACTCACACACACTCACACACACTCACACTCACACACACACTCACACACACCCACACACTCACACACTCACACACTCACACACCCACACACACTCACACTCACACATGCACACTCACACACTCACACACACTCACACACACTCACACGGGAACACCCAGGACGAGGCAGAGACGAGTTGGTGATATTCCAGTCCCTCTCTCCTCGTCCCTGATTCACACTCCTTCCAGCCTGGTTGGCACGACTGGGTCGCCTTGGCTCTGGTCAGCACCACGGTTTGTGTATGTTTGATATTTAGAAATGATTTGGATTCCCCCTTCCGCTGGCCACTGCAACCAGGAGTGGACGTCAGTCTTGAGCGCGTCAATTGCCGCTTCCTTAGAGCAGTTTCCACAAGTGGAAACGACAAGTAAGAGAGTTTGTGGATTTTTAAAGTGGGTTCGTATCTGTTGGACCAAATTATCTTCCAAAGGATCTGCCGGCTCCCTCCCAGCGGCATCCGCACTGTTTCCTCTCTGGTGGCAGCTGAGATTTCTCTCTTTGAATTGCCGTCACCAAACTTGAGGTGGGATGTGTCCTCGGGGCGTGGGGTTGTTTTTATTTATCCTGCTTCTCAAAGACTGGCTGTCCCATCTGTCTCGAGTCTTTCGCCATCTAGAAGATTCCAAGCCCTGGGCTTCGAGGGCCGCCTCTTCCGAGGCTCGGCCTCTCCTCCGGCCCTCCAGTTGGGTGGCTGACTTCAGGATGGCTGCCTCAGCCGCGTTCTGGGTGCTGTCACCTGTCCCACTGCTCCTGCTCGGCTGTTGCCTTTCTGTGTTCCTGCCTCACCCCCCCGGGTCCCCCGCTGTCTTTTCTTCCTGATGTCATGTTCCTGGTTTACGGTGCTCTTCTTCCCTTTACCTCCTGAAATACTTTAAACACACTTGCTTTAACGGTCCTTTGAAGTGGGCCTGTTTTCTGGGCTTCCCGGGGTGTGATCTATCCCCTCATCACCCTGCTCTCTCCTGAGCTCAGCTCCCGCTGCAGCAGGGACGCCCTGCCCGGCCCCCCTCAGGACCTGCCCGTCCACCCTGGGGACCCCGGGAACCAGCTTTTACTGCCCTCAGCGACCGCTCTCCTCTCAGTTTCGGGCACTTGAGGCTCCTTTCTTGTTCTTAGTCTTGGCACACATGTGTGCACCCCGAGTTGTTCCCCTGTGCAGCGGAGCCTGTGAGTGTGCACACGTGTGATGGAGTAAAATGGGGCAGGAGAGGTGGGAGGAAACCTGGCCCGGTCCATGTCCTGCAGCCACTGCCTCCAGTGAAAATTGATGGGATTCTGACATGTATCTGCCCTTTTGGCACCAGGACCCCCTGGGCCGTGGGCTTCCTTGGCTCTGCACCCCACCCCCCAGCTGTTTCCTGTCAGGACAGGGCTCCTGCTCCAGCCCAAGCCGCTGAAACCACCTCCCTCACCCCAGCCTGAGGCCACGGTCCTTCTGGTAGGAACAATACCCCATTAGCCTGCTGCAGGCCACGAGTCCCAGTGGCCTACGCCAAGGCGGTTGAAACGCTCTTGAGGGATCCACCCTTAACCAAGCACAGGGCCAGCCTCCTGCAGAGAGCCCTCTTCAGCACCCTAGTGGAAGCCAGTACCCTCCCAGTCCCCCCAGGAAGCACAGCGTGCTGTTGTGGGTTGAACTGGGTCCCCAAATATTGTGGTGACGTCCCAGCCTCCAGACCCTGCAAAGGTGTCCTCACCTGGAAATCAGGTCTTTGCAGGTGAAGTCCTGTTAGGCTGAGACGCCCACCAGAGAGGACGGGCCTCCCTCCAGCATGACCGCGGTCCTCGGGAGAGGAGGACACGAGACACGGGGCAGGCGCACAGGGAGAGGCTACGTGCAGGTGTGGACAGAGTGGAGGCCAGCCTCCACCAGCCACACAGCGCGAGGACTGCTCCAAGCCGCCTGCAGGCCCCGAGACTGGAGCAGGGGTCCTCGGAGCTCCGGAGGCTCCACCTGCCCACACCTGGAGTTGGACTTCTGACCCAGAACCAGGAGGGAAATATTTCCATCGTTTCATGCACCAGTTGGGGGTGCTTTGTCAGGAACCCCCTCACCGGGAGGCCACCGGGTCTGATCCCAGGCCTGCTGTGCTCAGGTGCCTGACTAAACACCTCCCGAGCCCATCTGCAGAGACGCTCAGGGATGAGGCAAGTCTTAACACGCGGCACCTGAACCAGGTTGGGCAAGTC